GTGCATCACACTTTGGTATCATCCAAAGTGTAACTGACTCCGTATCCCCGGATTGGTATTTATTGGGGATTGGATCAAAAATGGACCCAATACCGGGTATTGGTATTGGATTTCTCCAACCAATCCCAGTTTTCCAATAGATTGGGATCGGATTGGAGATTGATCTGATACCAATACCCTTTTCGATCTGATCCCCGATGTTGAAATCTGGTGAAACTTGACATGTCAAGGGTCAATGACAACAATCACGGATCAAGCGCAGTCAACCGCTTAGGGTTGAGAAGGATCAACTTCAAATACTCAGAACTGATTGTAACGGTCTTCTTCCCTCAATCTTGTCAAGACCATCAAGATTCAAAATTCCTCAAAGCCCTACACTTTAACTCACTCGATCATGGATCGCTACTATTGCTGATACTGGTTCTATACCCAGTGTAATTTTCCCAGCCTCTCCACTCTGAAGCTCGAATTCAAATACTCACTCCTTTTTGTCCCTTTCTTTTGTAAAAGTCTTCATTGGTGCTCTCCCTCTTCTCCTCTGTAAAGCATTTCTTATCTAATAAGAATCCTTGCTCAACATAGTTTGTTGGTTATATTCCTCTCTTATTTTCATCTGTTTTCTCCTCTCTTCTATTCTTTGCTTGATGAACAAATCACTGAACTTTTCTTCTTCTCATTTGTTTTTTCTTTTTCAGACTATCTGCTTGCTCAATCCTCCTACAAAGTCCTCACTTAAATTGTTATATCTTTCCATCTATATTAGCGGTATTCTCTCTTTCTCATTCTAAAGTTCTTCTTTGTCTTTGTCTGATTATTTACTAAAGTCTCTGTTTTTGTTTAGTCTGGTTTCTGGTTTCTTAGTAATTTAATCCTAAATTTCTCACCCAATAAATACCAATCCGGGGGATCGGATCAGTTTCATCGTTGACACAAAGCAAGTAAAAAAACGTATGGGAGGATGGATTTATTTGTGTGGAAGCTGGTGTTTCTGACTTGGGGTTGTTGAGATCTGAGCCCAATCGCTCTAGAACTCTAGCGGTATCTTTCTAATGATCAATATGACTTGATCATTAGTTGCTTTCCCAATGACATACATTGATCTCCCTCAGCTGAACACGTTTGCTCTTTCCTCCCCATGAATCCACAATTTCAAACTCATGACTCCTACTGAGGTATCTTAAAAAGATTCTTCTTCTTCTTCTTAATACTTTGGATTCATTGCCAGTTTCACATAATCATCTCTCTTCTCTTGTGGTGAAACAACTCAACTATAACATCATCCTTGATTGCAAACTCGTGCGCTTTCCCTTCTACATATTCGATCTTCCGCCAACCTTAGTGCTTCCTTTGGGGACTTGTGTGCTTTCCCCTTCTATTTGGCTTTCCGCCAACCTTAGCACTTCCGAGTACCTTTCCTATTGTTGTAGTCAATCCTCTCTGATTGACTCAACTGATTCACAACTGACATCTTTCCTTATTTAGTTGTTCTTTCTTTTGTCTCCTTGTTCTAGTTCTTTCTTTGCCGTGTCCCTATCTATTGTTGCTCCCACCTTTATAGGTACATTTCTCACTTCATTCATTTATTGTTAATATTTCTTATTGTATTTCTTCATTATCTTTACTGATCAGAAATACTACTTTAGTTGTTTGACACTTAACAGCCCTTAATCAACAATGTAACAGATCCGATCCGATTCGGATCGGATTGATTTTTTGTTACCAGGTATCGAAAAAAGGGGTATTGGATCACCCACCCAATCCGATACCCAGAGTATCGGATCGCAGCAGGCAGTATCACAGGGTTAGGGATTGGTATCGCATTGCGATACCAATCCAATACCGATCCGGTATCTGTGGGATCATTTCAAAAGGCATTTTTTTGGGTAAAAGAAAAAGTTTGGGCATTTATATATACATGAATTTTTTTTTTTAATTTTTAACTTTTATGAAAATAAAAATTGGAATGTAAATTTTTGAAGCTAAAAATGGAGAGCCTGAGATTTTTTTTTCATCACTATTTATAATTTTCATACTTAATGTAAAGAAATATACAACTTTTTTTTCTTCAAGGGATTTTTTTCAAGTGGAGTGAAATGAAATTTGGGAGACTGAGTGGGGGTTGGTAGAGCCTAGAGAGTAGAGGCTGTGAATATAGGTGAAAAAAAAAATGGATATAGTGAAATTAACCTTTGACACCGGAGGTCGAAGCAACAGTTTTTTTTGTTGTCTTGACTGCTTCCAATTCTGCCTGAGTAGCAGAGATTATGTCCTGGGCCGCCTGGAATGGGCCATCAGGCTTTACCCCTTGAGTGATCCATTGGTGGGAACTTACACATCTTTCAGTTGTTTTGGCAGCTAAGTTGCCTCGATCTTGCCCGCAAACGTCCGCCGCGGCTGAAAAACATTGCTCCACACTTGCAGACGTAGCACTCGTGGCCAGGAAGTCCGTCCGCCGCGGCTGAAAAACATCGCTCCACACTTGCAGACGTAGCACTCGTGGCCAGGAAGTCTCGGGCCAGTAGTGCCACCACTGGAAATTCTGTTGAATATTGCTGTATTTCATCGAAAAAAATAATAATCAGATTCTTATGACAAACTCAGAACCTGAAATATGAAATGTTTGAACCCACCTTCCACCAAGTTAAGCAATCGGCAGCCTGTGAAGAGGGCAGCCGATACTTACCCCCAAGGTACGCTGCCAGTTCGTCATAGGTCTCTGGCGCAGTATCCGAAAAGAAGTTGACATCTTCCTCAAGTCCACCACCAGGGGGCAGGGTTGTGTTCTTTTCGGGTGGCGGGAGGTCTCTGGCGCAGCATCCGAAAAGAAGTCGACATCTTCCTCAAGTCCACCACCAGGGGGCAGGGTTGTGTTCTTTTCGGGTGGCGGGGTGTCTTCATCTCTTGCTGCCTGGTCATTGAGGGCCTGTTTGCGTTGTTGGAATTGGTCTTCCAGAAGGGATTGTGCGCGGGGGAAGGCTGAGGGGTACCACTTCTGGATCATTGAGAGGCGGTAGCTGGGGTTGAGAGCTGTGGCGAGAAGGATGGCATTGCATGCAAGAGCCTCGTTGACGTAGGTGTCGATTTTTTTGAGCATGGTGTTGATCATGTTCTTGAATTCATCCTTGGTGATGGTGCTGAGCTTGCCCTCGAGCAACGGTGGGCCGCTACACTAACCGTAGCGGTTAGTGTAGCGTAACGCAGCGGAATCGCTGTTAGCGATTAGCGTAGCGTAGCGGAATTCCGCCACGACACCGCTAACGCTACGCGTGTGGGCCGCAAAAAAGGGCCCACTACGCTGCGCTACAGCCGTTTTTAGCGGTTTTTGGCCGTTTTTTCCGCTAAAAGCGCTGTAGCGCAGCGTAGCGTAGCGAAAAACCGCTAAAAAACCGCTATCACTACGGTTTTTGGTGAAAAAAAAAGCGCCGCTACGCTACGCTTTTTGGGCCAAAAGCGTAGCGTAGCGTAGCGGCCCACCGCTGCCTCGAGGTATTGCCGCAGGAGTCGGTATTTTGCAAGGACCATTGAAGCCGATGGGATGTTGCCCTCCATCTTCTTAGTGATGTAATAGAATTCCTGTTGATGATGTATAGAAAAAGATTGATTTCATAGGTAATTAGATACTGAAATGAAAGTAATCTTGGAAATGACGAGGAAACGCTTACACTGATGATATCATTCAATTTCTTGACAATGTCCCAGTCGCTTTGTGTGATTTCATATTCATTGAAGTGGTTCTTGCCTCCCTCATGTTCTTGTCGGTCTTGCTCGTTCTCGATCAGTTTGTTGATTACGTTCCTTGAAATATACCCTCGCTCACGGCTCTCAAACTTGATATTCCAGCGGATACCGTAACTGGCGATCAGAGTGGGGCCCAAGTAGTCGAGTTTTTTGGCCCATGTGTTGAATTCGGCTTGCTTGGCTGATGAGGAAGTGATTTGTTGGATCACATAATCAACCTATTTTAACAGTATAGATCTTGGTCAGGGGGAACTTCTTGAGTTAAAAAAAATAGTAAAAAGAAGGTCATAACTAACCTTCTTCAATACTTTCTCAATAACATTGGCCTCCCTCAGTTCTGGTCCTTCATCATCACTGCAGTCGGAGTCTGAATCGTCAACAAAGCCTTCAGTATCGAAGGGCCTAAAATGAAATCCTCAATTCGAACCCACGGCAACGAATGTCGAACAATCCAGAGGACAAGGAGCTGGTTGAAGGTGTTGTTGTCGAAATTGTTGCCGTCCACCATTTTCCGCAATGCGACCTGCTCAGGCTCGTTCTTCTGTGCTTTTTTCTCCTTCGCAGTCATTGGGAGCTTACACCCAGCCGCAATTGCCCTGGCTTGTCCTGGGCACGGTTCTTGGTTTGCGTTACCGTCTCGATGTTTGACGAGGTTTGAACGAGTTCCTACCCCTTTCCGATAAGGGTTATCGCACCATTTACATCTGTAAGACAATGGTTCAGTCTAAAAAAATATGAAAATTCACACCACAATGTCAGTTGTGTAAAAGAAAACAAATAACATAACATAAAAAACTTATGTTGCCTTCTTCAAACACAGGGGGGTGAAAATACTCCTCTATCTTGTCAAACTCTGACTCCTTTGGTTGCGCCTTGGTTTTGTGAAGCTTGAATCGGCGGTCCGCATCATCTGAATCCTGTGTGAAGTCAATCATCTTTGCCGTCACGTGCGTTTCAGGTTCAGATTGAGATGAAGCTTCTGAGTCGGACTCAGAATCGGAATCCCCGCTGGATACAACGACCCTCTTGCTTTTCTGTTTCTTGTGCGTTTGAGAGGCCTTGGCCTTCTTGGTCTTGCGGGCGGCACGTGTCGAGGTTGAAGCCAAAGAGGACGCTGGCCTTTGGGGACGTTTACGCGTTTGTCTTGCAGACGTCTGAGTTGCTGAAGAAGGGGGAAGGGCCTTGCAAGAATCGTTGCTGGGCCTGACAAAATTAGGGTCATTTCGGACTGGAGTGGTAATCCTTGTCGAATGTTGAGATGGAGGCCGAGAGGCTGATGAGGTTCCTGGAGGAGGGGTGTTGGGCTGAGACCTGGAAGCAGGGGTTGAGGAGGTGGCCATGATCGAGTAGAGATTGTGAAACCAATGTTTCTGGCAGTGGCAGTGTTGTTGGTCCTTGGTGAAGAGTTTGAATCACTATTCTATGTCTGAAAAAAAAATGTCCAATGATATGTCAGTTGAGATTGATCTGTCATTTGATTGAATGATTAAAAATAGTAATCCATTAAATAAGAAAAATAAATAAAAAAACAAATACTCACCTCACACTAGAGACAACCCTGAATAAATGGGAAAAGAAACAAATGATGTCAGTGATGAACCATAAAAAAATAGTGATGAACCAATAAATCATAATGATAAAAGAAAAATTAAATAAGAAAAAGAAATAAAACAAAATAAATACTCACCTGACAATAGACAAAAACCTAAATGAATGGTCAAAAAAGCAAAAGTGGTCAGTGATGAACCATAAAAAATTGGTGATGAACCAATAAATAATAATGAAGATGAAAGCAAACCAAAACCCAAGGAGAAACACACCTGACAGTACACTTCAAAGGGCAATCTAAAAAAACAACTTAAAAGAAAGTGAAGGTAAAAGTCAGTGGACTGGACAAGAGACCAAAAAAAATTGAACAGAAATGACAGATCCGATCCGATACCCAATACCGGATCGTATTGTATTGATGACTCACCTCAGGCCCTGACTAGTTGTCTTGCACAACGAGAGAAAGAAATGAAAGCGGTCGGGGGCGGATACCAACTCCAAGCGACGTAGGTGGATGCAGTGATGAGGCGTGAGATGGGCAACCGGTACCCTTGAACAATTGTATTCGTCCGGGACCAAACGTCGAACCCACGACTCCAAGAGCGACGACAGCGGCTGCGGCTGCGGCACTTCCGGCGAAGTCAGAACTATCCAGCGACGAAGCGGAGGGCAGGCCGGGAACGACGAGTGGGGGAGGCCGGGCGGTGTCCGTTCGAGACCGAGTCCAACCCGACGTTTGATGGGTGAAGCGACAAGGGGGGGGGGGGTCGCCAGATTAAGTATCCAGCGACGAAGCGGAGGGCAGGCCGGGAACAACGAGTGGGGGAGGCCGGGCGGTGTCCGATCGAGTCTGAGTCCGACCCGACGTTTGGTGAACAATGAAGCGCCAAGGGGGGGGGGGTCGTCAGATTTGACAGAGACGAAGCGGAGGGCAGGCCGGGAACTTCAACGACGAGTGGGGGAGGCCGGGCAATGTCTGTTCAAGTCCAAGTCCGACCCGACGATTGATGGGTGAAGCAACAAGGGGGGGGGGTCGTCAGATTCGAGCCGAGGTGAGTACGATCGACTCCCTCAATACGACACTTGTGGGGGGGTAGTGATGGGGTGGTGGGAATAGGACTGGAGGGGTGGTGGGGTGGGGTATTAGTAGTATACCGTCGGAATTGAAGACCGACCCAAATAATGTGGGCGGGCCACAATACAGGATCGGCTTGGGCGATACCGATACCAAGTTCCCACGCGGCTCGTATCAGATTGCCCCAGCTGATCCCAATCATCTGATAAATCGGGATTGGATCGGAAAAACGATCCGATCCCGATACACGGTATTGGGGGACATTTCGATCCGATCCCCGATAAATACCGATCCGGGGATCGGATCTGTTACATCGTTGCCTTAATGCTAACCATGCATTCTCTCTTCCTGTAAGATGAAACCCTGTTTTTTTTTGGAAACCAAGGGGGTTTGACTGGCTCCAGGGGTCCTATAATAGTTGATGGACATAAGCAAGGAATAATTGATCATTGGATTGAGCAGAGAAAGAGAGAGAGAGAGAGGACTAAGGGAGGGGGCTCATGACAGCTTCTTGAGAGAAGCAAGCTCTGCTTGGATGCCAGAAAAAAAAAACAACGGGTGGAAACCACACTGTTGTGAACAAGCTTGGCTACATGTATGTGTGGGTGTGTGATGTTCATCAAATATGAGGCCTGTTTGTAAGCCCTTGATCAATTCATTTTGGCTGATGTTCCAGATGGAGGCAGGAGAGGCTGGACTTGGATTGGAGGAGGAGGATAGAATATATGGCTTCAAATCTTTTTTGTTACATACCTCATTCTTCATAAACCTTTACTGCCCTTCTGGATTTGATTAGCCGCTTTCCTTGTGGGGCCTGGGACATTCAACAACCCTACATAGTGATTGTGTCAAAGGAGAGAAAACATGAGATGAGTGTACATATTTAGTTCCGAAGCCGAACTGTATGGAGGAGTGGCTGGGCTTGGCTGCATGGTAAGCTGGATTGTTTGAGAGGCAGGCGATTTCGCTTGAACAGTTCTACATATTTTTAATATTTTCAGTGGTGTATTCAAGATCCTCGATTCTCCTGATGATGATGAGACTGGATTTTGTTGTGGATCTCCAGTGAGATCGATCTCCATAATCATCGACACATGAAAGATGTGTATTGTTTTGATGGAAGAGTGTTGGCCATTATAATGTTTGTTCAGGTTCATGATTAAGTGGCGGTCTCACTCTCAACCAACCCACTCTCACCCAACCAACACACTCTCACACACTCTCACTCACTCACTCTCACTCAACTCCAGAGCATGAGAGACTGAACTTCTTGGCACTCCTCATAATATACCACCCCCCTGACAATATAAAACAACCCTTCTTCCCGAAGTTCCCCTCGTCTGAACCCAGCTCGCTGATCTGAAGCGAAATCTTGTTGGTTGGAATAAAAGAGAGAGAGAAAGAGATCTCAAGCTTCGCTCGAACATATTAATTTATACACTGTGAGTCTCTCTTCCCCTGTGACATCTTCCCCCTGCTCAATCGGAATGTGTTCTTCTTCTTCCTCTTCCAGATGACCATCACCCTCTCCTCACTCTTCCACAACCGATCAACACTCGCACTAGTCACCGCAGAACCATCATCCTCATCAAACGACTCACACAACAACACCCAACCTACTACTACTACTACTAGAAACAACCCATATCGAAATCAGAACAACTCCCGATTCACACTCTCCTTCAACAACCTCATCAACCGATCAAGAACCCAAAAACAAACCAACAACAACAACAACCAACCACTCAGCCTCAACACAACAACTGCCACCCAAACCAACAACTCATCTCCCTCATCTCAATCCAGAAACCAAACCCATCCGAGCCCACTCGAGAACTTGATGCAGTTCTCACTCGGACCACCAAGCCCACCCACCTCACCCATCAACCTACACCATCCACCCCAACAACAACAACAACAACAACAAACCAACCAACAACAACAACAATCATCATCCTCAGCTATCACTGCCCCACAAAGAACCTCATCAGCAGCAGCAGCTACCCTCCCTTCCACTAAATCGATCTACTTCCCAGGCTTACGTCGGA